TAATTACGGTGGCTAATTTACCATTTCAACTTTGTTGATATATCCAAATTATTTCGTTACTCCCACCGACGCAGCCCCAAACAGTTTCTTTCGAAACTATCAGCCTTTATACATTCGATGTAGATCTCAAAGAAAACTGCCGGAAATATTTCACAGGCTCGTGAAATGTTTTTCGCACTTATTACTATTTCTATCATCGCCAATTAAAACTTCGTTGCTATATCTATGAAATCAAGAATCTTCTCAAATTCAGTTCAACCAATCGAAACAACGTTAATGGGCAAATGTTTTGTGTTACAGCCGGCTAATTTGAGATGGAGAAGTTAGGTAAGTACTTGGTGTAATCCTTAATGTATGTTAATGTATCCACATGACCATGTTTTCCCATATGTTCTTCTGTATTGATGCATGTATGAAGGATTTCACCAAGTACCTAACTGACAAGTGCCTACCAGAAGTTGTGCTCTTTACGCGCATGTCCCTCTCACAGTGCTGATTCAGTAGAAGAAAAGTCTGTCTTAGAGTCAGGTTTTGCTGTTTTATCTAATGTTTGATCGTTTAGGAGATCAGCGCGTCAAGCAAACCATGTTTCCTTTTTTTTCTTTAAATCAATTAATAGACCATTAAAAAACGGCTGATACGTTTAGTTTTACTCACATCTCAGAGAAAGCAAGAGCACAAATTTTTGACGGTGGGTTTTGGGGAACCGAGACATCATTTACAGCCTTTAACATAAACAACTATTTTGAGGGTGCTGGTCAGCAGTTTCTTTTCATTTACACCCGTTAAATGTAAGTCACCGAGTATATAATTTGGGGCAGATCCATGCGATATCTTTTTTGTTTGTTGGATTTGTTGCACGCATTTCAAGCCAAGAGAACATAATTTTCCCCACTATTATTACGTTGCCTTTGGGAGAAAAATCATCTTGTCTCTATTCATATAACCCCGAAAATATTCGAGAATTTGAAAGCAATAACTCTCTAGAGAGCTGTCACAAGGTCTGAAAAGGGAAACAAAATGTGCATGCCAACAAGGTCTGATCTAGAAAGTAAAGACAAAAAATTCATATCCAAGCCTGCAAATTGTCCGACCTACAAGTCTGCAGACTTCCTTGTTCAAATTTTTAATTCGGTTTATGACTTGTACCTCCATCACTGATCACTCAAGTATAACGTTATCATATTTTTCCAAAATCTATTGTACTTAAGAGTCTGAGCCAGTGATATATGGAGGTATTGGCAAGCGTACTTATTGATGCTGTCAGTATAACGGTCTCCAGCCAACAAGTAAACGATCTTAACTGATATCAGCGAGCCCACAATGTAGCATGAATACTGGTCAGAGGATTTTTGGTGCAACTAGGCTTTTATCGATTGTGCTCGTAAAAAAACCATTAATGCTCAAAGCAGTGCTTTCTTTTTTGCCAATTAAGTGCTAATAGAATGCCATTTTTTTAAAAAAGTACTCGTGGTTACATAAAAGTGCTCACTTTTTCGGTTTTTTTTTAAACATAGAATATAACATTTTTCAGATTTTCAGTAAAATTTTTCAACAACGAAATGTAACGATCAACGTTTGTTTTCCCTTAGTCCAACACAACGTTTGAAGTTTTCTGATACTAGAAGTTAATCATCGCTTGTTGTTGGGTCATCATCATCCATTCTAGAAGTTAATCATCACTTGTTGTATCACACTTGCTTGCAGATAGTCAACTAAGGCGTGCTCTTGTTGATCGTTGAATGAAGAATTGAGAATAGAGAATACCCTTTCTGCTGCAGCCGAGGATGGCTGCACCAGCAGCACTTTCTTCACTGCAAATGCCCAATGAGGGAGCTGATCCTTGTGGTCGTGCCACCATTTTACCTTTCGCTCTTCTGTGTTGATAACCACATCTTCAGTGGAAACTAAGTAAGCAGGGAGTTCAGCTTTTACGCCATTGATAATTCCATCGTCATCGAGAAAAGTGAAGACTTGCAAGGCCTCTACTGATTGCTGAGTTGGCTTCAGCCACTGAACTCTGACAGGACACACATACCTCGCAGCCTTGAACACTAACACTCTGTTATACAGTTGGACATTGAACTTTCTCAGAAACCAATCTAATACTGGTTGGACACATGCCTTTGCCTGCTCGAGGACTGCTACGTTTTGGCCATGATTTTCTTCGGCGATTGCTGCCGCGACTGCATGCACGTTAGGAAAGTGGGGGGCTTGGCAGGCTCGGGCAACAGCATGGAGTTTCTCATAACAGGAGAGCACGAGAGCGCCATTACCTTCCAAGAAATACGTCGCTTTCACAAAGTGCTCCGCGACATCGATAGTGATGGCAAGCTCGAGCTTCAGGTTGATTAGTCGCTTAGGATCGGAAAATATCGTTTGAAGTTGAGGGAGTAACTGTGGACCGACATTAGTGGCTTCTGCTTCTATCAAGAATCGCTCAATATCTCCAAACTGCATTAATATTTGTTGATAGACTTCCCACTTTGACCAACATCTCGTCTCACTCTATGATCTTGGTCTTTGGCCAGTCAGATCCTTCCACAACAGCTTTGCCTTGTAGCTATGGCGGAACAGGCGAATCCATACGCTACCGAACTCTAGAAGAAGGGCTAACGCTCGAAACGTCAGCTTTTGTAATCGTTACGGTGGCCAATTTACCATTTCAACTTTGTTGATATATCCAAATTATTTCGTTACCCCCACCGACGCAGCCCCAAACAGTTTCTTTAGAAACTATCAGCCTTATTCACAACAATGGTTGAGCACCAGGCCTTCGTTCTGGACTTACTAGCCTCTCACACCTGTAATAATCCTTTTGTGTTTCCTCGTGGAGACGAGTAAGTCTGGAACAATGGTAATTCAAATTTGACGCCATATTTCGATTCGGTGTATTGGTTCATGCAATTTACTTTGTCTTTGAAAAGTTACTCATGCCTTTTTAAGCCAAATTGTTCTTGAAACTATGTGATCATCTATAAAAAAGAAAGACATTAATTTGATAAACAAAGAAGTGTAACACGCTAAAACTTGAATAAATTACACTGAATGTTTTCTCGAAACAAACCCACAAGGGCATTTGAAAAATTAATATAAACGACCGTACCACTATCCTTTGAATGCTTTGTAATTACAATCACCGCGTTTTTGTCTGCCTATCCAAGTTCTCGATATTTTCCATTGGTATCCCTGCAACGCGCGCACGTGCCTTATCAAATTAGCATATATTCTCAGTCTAGAAGTAACTTTAAAAGTTCCAAGCGGTGAGTTCAGTTCCGAAAGCTGGAGCCCTCACTTATCTATACCAACCGTTACCGAAGACCTTTTTCAAGTACTAAAGTTATCAGCATTAGGATAATCCGTTGAAATTAGAGTGCGCCTTATGCCGATTTAGGAGAGGTAATTTATATATGTTTTGAAAACAAACTTTGGGGAACATCGGATAAATTATTGCATGCACGGGAAAATTCAATAAGCACATGAGTGGACGACATGTGAACGGCATTTGCAAGGCATGCGAAAAGTTTATCAACTGCAATCATCGTTTTCACCTGATTTTTATCTGGTTCTTCCGTTCTTGAGGCTTAAAAAGTGAAAAACTTGCAATTACGCTCAAATTTTAAAGGCCCGATGGCGGTTTGCGACTGAAGACGGAATCAGCACAATTTGAAACAAAGACCTCCGGCAGCGCGCCTGGGTAACGATTTTATATTAATTTTTTTAATTATAATCGAAAATATATTTTTTTCAACCTAAGTTGTCGGCAGACTAGAGAGTGTCGATGACCAGTTTGATGGACCTACTAGCTTCGCGTATTGAAAGATTCTTGAGCGATGGAGTCGCAAAAAAAGACCAAGCGGTGAAGCGTGTGTTTGAGGAATTAATTTTTTTTCATTTACTGCCTGGCCTATATGCCCACGGGCATGTAGGGTAGCAACAAACGTCTTCTACTGCCGTTTTCCGAGTAAAGAATTGTTTTTCAGATGTTGTCAAAACCTCTCGCACAGCTGACAGCTCCAAAATTTCCCACCAATGGTCTCTCAAATTTATGACCATACACGGTAAATTTTGCCTCAGTTCAACACAAAAACGGTATCAGTTTGATACACAACGTGCAACACGCTTGATACATACTGGACGCGCTCCCTAAAGCAAACGAGCTCTTTGCTATAAATAGCAATAAAATCAGGAGGTTCCTAGAGCATTTGAAAATTTAATGTGATACGACACGTACCGCTTTCTTTTAGATTCTCTATAAGCATAACAAGGGCGTTCTTACCGACTCACTAAGTCCGCGACGTTTTTCCATCCGCGTACGCACGCTCTTAAGAAATAACTTTGAACGTTTTAAGGTGAGTTTAATTCGCAGTTTAAGCATGCACGAGCCCTTATATCTAAGCGGCTAACCGTCATGGACCAAGAGGGTGTCGGCAGACCAGATTGACGGACCTACTGGCTCCACGTATTGAAAGATTCTTGAGCGATGGAGTCGCAAAAAAAGACCAAGCGGTGAAGCGTGTGTTTGAGGAATTAATTTTTTTCACTCACTACCCAGGCTATATGCACACTGGGCATGTAGGGTAGCAACAAACCTCTTCCACTGCTGGAATGTGTCAGCTCAGGTTAAGATATTGTTTCTCAATTCAGATATTCAGTATTGAAGCCTCTGTACAGCTGACAGCTCCAACATTTCCCCACCAATAGTCTCTCAAATTTACGATCATACGTGGTTAGTTTTGTCCCTTTAGTTCTTTATGGTGGCCAATTTACTATTTCAACATAGTTGATATAACCAAATTACCGGCACCTATAATTTTCTTTCAGTTCAACACAAAAAAGTTATCAGTTTGATACACAACGTGTAACACGCTTGATACATGCTGGTGCCCCCCTAAAACAAGTGAACTCATTGCTAAAAATAGCAGCAAACTCAGGCCTCTAAGGTCTTTGAAAATTTAATGTCATGCGCCACGTATTACTTTCTTTTAAATGCTTCGTAAGCATATTAAGGGCGTTTTTGCCTACTCACTCAGTCCGCGACGTTTCCCACCCGTACGTTCTTAAAAGATAACCTTGAAAGTGCCAAGGTGAGTTTAGTTCTCAGTTTTAGCACGAGCTCTTATACTTAAGCGGCTAACCGTCAAAGACGATCCATTTAATCAAGTCATGAAGTTATCAATTTCAGGAATATTAGGTCAAGATGAGAATTTGCCCTCACTGCTGGTCAGAAAGACGTAGTTTCTCTGATTTGGAAAAACTAGCGTCCGGAATATGAGGTGACTGATTTTGGCATTGCAAAGGTTCTGAAGACTTATAGTCGCGATGCATGTATGGAATATAACAACACCCTTTTTGAATGAAAATTGAAGCGCAGCCAGGATGAGAAATATCAAAATACAATGAAAACGTTCTCTGGCCAAAGTTTTTGAAAACATAAGCTTTCGGCGATCAATCTACAGCCTTCCACGGATAAAACATGAAATGTAAATTAGTAAATATATACAAAAAGAAAGATAAAGGTGATAAGAAGAACAAAGTAAAAAAATTGGAAAGGGTGGCTATTGTTTAAAAGAATGCTATTCTGATTAGGGATCGGCTTCGATCGCAGTTATTGTCTAATTCAACGCAATACCAAAAGCCTTTCGGCCTGGAAATTAATTCAAAATGACAAAGAAACGTTTCTGTACTAATTTATAAGTTATTCAGCTTCATTCAAACATAGTTACTAGTCCCCTCTACTAACTATGATTCAAATTATCAGGGATTAGTAACCTAATTGATGCCGTATGGATATTACGCAACATCTTTCTGTCAGCCAAATAGTTTTCACTGTTTTTGAAGATGGTGAAATGATGTTAAAAAAGACACTCGCAAATAGCGACTCGCCAATTGACAATTAACATCATTTGAGGAAAAGCGGCCTAAGTTAAGGTTTAGGACTTCAAAATAATAGATTTTGCCAAGCCTTAGCTCACAATGAGACCAAAATGTTTCTATCGCGACGACGACCTACCAGAGGAATTCATTTTCTCGCGCGCATTGTCCGGAAGGCCCACTTCCCAGTGGGCATTTCAGGCTGTTATAGCATTTTTCTCTTCTTCAATAGAATATTAACTTTTTGGAATAGAATTAGTATTATTGTCTTTATTTCTCCTTAAAAACTTTATATTCGAGTTTCATAACATATTTGTGACAGGCATTTTGCCGGATAGGTGACCACTTTTAATTACACTATTCTTCTATTTCGAAAATAAACTTTAAAATGTTGTGTTTTATGAGGAAATTTTATCAGTATCTATAAAATAAACAGGTGACATGGCCGCTTGCGGATACGAATTTTATCTCCTCGTGCTGAATAGATGTCTAGCATTATTGCCCATCTCAGTCCAACTGTTAGATTATGTTTCAGCTTGGATCTCTTATCTTTCCCATGTGAGGATATTGGTATCGCTATGGTTACTAACAGGCTGTTATAGCATTTTTCTCTTCTTCAATAGAATTTTGACTTTTTGAAACAGTATTAGTATTTACGTATATGTGCACGATCCTTCGCAGTAAAGCACTATTTAAGCAATAGTGAAAATCAGACCTGAAAAAAATTCAGGCCTGTACGGAATTCGAACCACTGACCTCTGCGATACTAGTGCAGCGCTCTACCAATTGAGCTAACAAGCCAACTGGGAGCAGGCCATCAAATTAATTCGACATAAACCCGTAGATGATAAATCAAACAACAAACATATGAAATACATATATATGAACTGCGGTTATGAAACGTATATGTGCACGATCCTTCGCAGTAAAGCACTATTTAAGCAATAGTGAAAATCAGACCTGAAAAAAATTCAGGCCTGTACGGAATTCGAACCACTGACCTCTGCGATACTAGTGCAGCGCTCTACCAATTGAGCTAACAAGCCAACTGGGAGCAGGCCATCAAATTAATTCGACATAAACCCGTAGATGATAAATCAAACAACAAACATATGAAATACATATATATGAACTGCGGTTATGAAACGTATATGTGCACGATCCTTCGCAGTAAAGCACTATTTAAGCAATAGTGAAAATCAGACCTGAAAAAAATTCAGGCCTGTACGG